TGCGAATATTTAAATGTAAGTGTTGACGTGATGACGCAGCGCTGGCCCGTCAACAATCCCGCCTGCGAGCATCCATCAACACGGATCAGCGCCGGTCGTCGGTGTGTTCCCGGACTGGGGTGAGACGAGGGGAACGCTAATGTGCGCTCTGGATTCCAGCATGATGAATGCTCGTAGATTGCTGTGTCATAACGACGGCCATTAGCGTGTGCCGAGTGTGTGAGAGTCTTTGACTTACCTCAAGTTACCCGGGCCACATCATCACAGGTCAGTCACCCGCTTCATCGGCACATTAACACAATTAATACTCCGCCACGACCTTCGTCTGGCTCTTCCGTGAGCAGAAAGAGTTCGCCGTGACTGATGACACACACACACACACACACACACACACGTGTGCCGCTGCCAATGATCAGTGTGTGTGAGAGACTGTACGGCTTTCACCCTGTTGGTGTTATTTGTGTATTACAAACTGCTTACACACATTTCCAAACTTTACACACGTTGCATCTGTTGCAAAACTAAGCACTGCATTAAAAATATCACAAACACACTTCAAAAGAAAACATTTGTCTGCAAACACCTTTGCTGTATTTAGTTCATCAAAACCTGAAGCTCTTCTTCATGAGCTCCTCTGTTCATTTCTGTACAAGAATGAAAGTATAATTGGCAGAGAGATGTTGGAAAATTCACAGTAAACACAAAAGCAGGATTGAAACCAAACTATTTTTTTACTGTATTTTTGTGGTTATGAATACAGTATTACACAGTCCGAAAAAACTATAACTCAACCTTTGGCCTGTAGGCCTATTCTAAAGCCATGATTGGTTCGTTTTCAGTAAAGAAATGAGTGTTTGCATGTGTGTGTGTGTGAGGCTCTGATGAATTACTGTGGCGTTTTGATAGATTATGTTTGAAAAAGAAAATCAGGATTCCTGTTCGATTTGTGTGTGGCTGGTTACTTCCGGGTTCTGGACTGGCTGCAGTAACACGTCTCTGTCCATGCGGGGGCGCTCGCGGTCGAGTGCAGAATGAATGGGAGTCAATGGGGAAAAAATCCCCTTTTCTCAGGATGTAATTTTTTGTCAAGTAATTTGAAAGTTGCATTCAAAAGGGAATACACTCAGCTGAAAATTGCATTTTTAAGTTCACTTATCTGTTCTAAAAATCCGTTCAAAACTGTGATGACGTCACACAATAGCAGAATGCTAGCGTCTTCCGGCCAACAACGGCCTAACTTGCAAGAAATCAAAAGGACATAAGTACTCGTTCATTCGACTTTTGGCCTATAATCTATATTGAACTTGCGGAATCAACAATAAAATCTATTTTGATTTAACGACAAGCAGGTGAAAGAGACACTTTTAGCCGTTTAGCCCCATAGACTCCCATTCATTCTGCTCTCGCTCATGATCACCCCCAGTGGAATTCTAATGGAACTGCAACCAAGGTGACGCACAACGGGGCTAATAGGAAGTGCCAAGGCTCTCCGTTTGACGTTACATAGACCATTGTGCGTTGTGGTTTGCAAAATTGTTTTATGAATTTGAAAACGTATTAAATTAGTGTATGGTTTTGCAGATTTGGTGTGTGAGTGTCAGGTTTCAGAAATATTCTTGTAAGGATTTTGTGCATTAGTCAATCATGTAACTGTACTAAAACACACTCGCGTCAGACTTTTTTAATCACAAAAATAGAATTAAATGTTTTCTACACAGCTGAAATCTCACATTTCTTTCCCTCTGAAACTCTGACTTTGCAGTGACCCTGCACACACACTCCTGACCCCTGACCTTGATAAAGATGCTTTTCCTCAGAGATTTGCGACACTTTTATGATTTCCACATGGATGATGTATGGAGTGTGTGTGTGTGTGTCTCCTCCGGCCGGACGGCTGTTCATCAGTCTGAGAGATAGAGCTGTCCTCTTCTCCTTCATGTGGACAGCAAGGGTGTGTGTGTGTGTGTGTGTGTCACACACAGGTTCTGCAGTGTATATATATAAATGCGCTCATTGGTTCTGCACTAGTTTTAGGCCCATTACTGTGTTAAAAACCTCACACACACACACACACACACACATGGATAAAACACAACATTTAGGTATAAAAGTTATGTCTGACTGACGTGTTAAACAAACTATCACAGCTTGATTTGTGTCATAATTAACTCCAAAATCTTTTTTTTTCATTTTTATTGTAATTATTCAGTTTTACTCATTCGTGAGGAATGTGTTTTGTTGTATGTGTTTTTTCAATATTAATCTTGAGTTTGCCATTAAAAATCATTACATTTTAAATTCAAAATTTTATTTCATGAATTTAAATCATTAAATTTGTATAATATATTTTTTTAATTGATTATCATTAGTGTTAAAGCATAATTATTACATTAAAAGATCATTTTAATTTCTTTTAAAAAAATATTTTCAAGTGGACTCAAAATCATTTAAAGGCAAAAAAAAAAATTACAATTAAAATGTAATTAATATTGTACAATATAAATAGTCTCTTTTAGAAAGAATTAAAGAATTAATATAAAGAGAATAGAGAATGTGTGTGTATCTGTGTGTGTATATAAAACATATTGACATAAAAATTAATATAATAAGGATCTTCGGACTTCGGTCACACACCTGCACGTCTGGCTTCTCATTGGTCGTAGACCGAAACCCAAGGACACCGCAGGACCAGGACGCAGAATGGCTAAAGTCACTTTGAGTCTGGATTGTCTGGACGAGATTGGCATTAAATTTTCACCAGATTGAGTTCAGTGCAGTGTGTGTGTGTGTGTGTGTGTGTGTGTGTGCCGCACGTTTGCAGCATTAAACTTTCATGTCGCCGCCGCATCACGAGGAGATTAACCTGTGCTTGTTATTTACAGGTGTGTATAAGAGGCCGTGTGATCAAGAAGCAGTGTATGCTGATGACCTCTGACCTCTGACATGTCTGCAGATCTGGATCTGAGCTTCTCATGGAGTGTGTGTGGAGTGTGTGTTGCTGTTGAGCAGGTCATTGTTTATTTTCCCTTTTCAGATGACTGTATTATTGTCATTATTTAGGCAATTTAGAGAGAGAGAGTGTGTGTGTGTGTGTGTGTGTGTGTGAGTGTGTGTGTGTGTGTGTGAGAGAGACAGAGAGAGAGAGAGAGACTG